TGGGAGTGTGCTTAGTTCTGTGCAATATGTGTTGTGGGTCCTGTAACCAGGAAAGAGGAACAGAAGGAGCCAGTATGAGGCGTCCCCTGTCACCTATCCTTCTGTCCATCTAATAATGAAGGAGTCTCCTCTCTTCTTCAATATGGGGAATTTCAGTAATGATGACTCATTATTCTGAGAGTTTCCTCATTTTCCGCATCCGAGGTCTTTTGCTTTTACGAAGCAGAGTGGGCAGTGCCTGCGGCAGGACCAGTTCTGCCCCACTTAGTGTCCTGAAATGAACAGGTAGCCCTGTTTTCTGGTGGTGACTTTGGCATCACAAAGAGCTTAATGTCTCTTTTGTCTCAGGTTTGGGCCAATAATCAATTATAGGGCGACAGGAAACACACAAATCAGTATCTTCTTAAAAACAAAGTCATTCGGGCAAGGGGAAAACTAACAGTTTCTACTCTAGAGAGCAAAGGAGAAGAAATAGTCATCACGTCCAAGGTGTTAGTGTCCTTCTTATTTCAAGACAAAAATCTATGAGAAAAGACAAACACAGTAGAGTGAAAACATGTTTTTTCCTGACCAGCATCTCTTCTATATCCTTCTTGAAACCAGAAACCCAGAGTTCCTTTGTGAAGCCACTCTTTCCCAAAATTCCCCGATTTTAAGTTTATGTGAAATTTTCCAACACACAATCCAGGTATGTGCCTCGATTCACTTAAGCACATCGGTGAGTCCCATCCCCTTAGCCACAGTGATTGGTTAGGAATTGGGTTTCTGATCCATCAGTCAAACCCAAAACAAACTAGCGAGTTTTTTCAACGGGGACACAGCCTGTCTCTTCGCTGAAGAGGATGAACAGGAATTCGTGTAACGCTGGAAGGTACCAGCAGCGATCCTGGGCCTCTCACACGGAAGGGAGGTCAGACGGAGAAGGAAATAGGACCTGTGGGTCGTCACAGGGCTGAAGCATCCAGCCTCGCCTGGAGCCAGAGCCATCCCGTACCTTTGGGTCAGAGCCACAAGGTTCGTTTATCCCAGCCTCTTTGAGGTAGGTTTGCTGGTTTGTTTTCCTCTCTGAAACTACCAGCATCCTGAGAAACAGAGTCCTGTTAAAAGTAACAGCCCCTGACGGAAGTGAGGGTTTGACTGAATTGCAAAATAGGGCGTTTGGTGAGGACCTTGTTAAATGGAAGTGGTTTGGTGTGTGTCACAATTCAATTACCTGGAGGCTGGTTAGAACACAGATTTCTTGGCCCCACCCCCTAAATGGGGAAGGAGGGCTTAGAAATTGCATTTCTAATGGTTCCCAGGTGGTGCTCTTGCTGTGGTCTGAGCAGGACCTTTGGAAAACCGCTCTTAACCTGGTACCGGCCGCTGCTGGTTGAATTGTGGTCTATTGCATCTCGGTGCCAAGGCCCTACACCAAATACTAAGGCTGCAACATTAAGGACTTTGATGGGAAACATCCTGAATATCGGAATCGAATAGCTTCCATTCTTGCAGCCATCAGTAACATTATTTAAGAAAGAGCTCAGGGTACTTTGAAATGGGTTTATCTGAAATGGAAGAAGGAAAGAAATTCAGCTTTGCTAAGAAACGCCTTTCCAACCTGTCAGCTGGTGCCAGTAATTTGGAGTCTCGAAGGGCTGTAAAAGCTAAAGTTAGTGTGAACAGAGGCAGGGAGGTGAGAGACTTAGCAGGAGAGAAGCCTGGTCTCCAACTGTTGTCCCAAATCCCCCTACCACGCTCTCCCAGGAAATATTTGTCTTCCTTATTTGAAGTGGATAGTCAGCATCTGATAAAGATGCAGGGAAGATGTGACTTTGGGCGAGGCATCAAATATTCATCACTTCCTCACGCTACCCCAGCCCTGTAGGGACCAAGATGGAGGCAGAGGTTTCCCACCACACGGCTAGACGTAGAGATGTAGGGGTGACTCCAGCATTGAGTCCCATACTAGGAAGCATACATTCCCAGCCCTAGTTCAAATGCAAGATGCATGACTAGATGGTTCTCTCATTCGGGTTATCTAGCTCATGGAACTGACCAGAAGCAAAGGGATCAGAAACCTACTATAATTAGAAAGGTGTTACATTGCCAAAGAAACCACAAGGGCCATCCCCAAATAGTTGTTGATTGCAAACTCCAGGCTCCTAACTCAATGTGGTCAGGAAGTAGGCAGCCCCAGAAAAGGGCTCCTCCCCAGCACACGCATGTGTCCATGGAGGACATTCCCCAGAAAGGTCAACCGGAGAGGGTGGCCAAGGATCTCAGTCAAGTCTCGGGCTCTGAAATGCCCTATGAACCGGTGAACGGGGAAATTCCCCTGCTGCTCCCCTTTCCCTCCTGGGGGTCTTTGTTCTCTTTACGAGTTTATTCACAACACTTGCGTGGAAGGAGTCTTGAGCATGGTTAAGCTTCTTGTTTGCCTTTGGGTTGCTGGACCTTGAGAAACAGTTTGGCATAAAGGAGCAGATTTTATTTGTCCCAAGATGCTGGAAGCCAGTAGAGAAGAAATGGTGACATCTTTGCTGCTTCTTTGGGGACAAAAGTTGTTCCTCCCATTATCCTGATAGGACCTAAGACTTTTTTGTTTTTAAATTTGGGGGGGGGGTAGGGAATTAGGTTTGTTTTTTTTTTAATTGCTTTTTTTTAACTTTTTATTTTAATGGAGGTACTGGGGATTGAACCTAGGACCCTATGCATGCTAAGCATGCGCTCTACCATTGAGCGATCTCCTCCCCTCCAGAACTTTTACTTTTATCATGAGGGTAGGTGGTAATGGTGTTAGGGAAATGGGGCCCTCTTTGTGGAAGGGGATTGTGAAGTGTTTCCTAGGAGGAGCTGTGTGTGTGAAATGAAAGCCTTGGGCGAAAGGACTTGTCCCTTGCATCATCCTCATTAAATAGAAGCCATTATGGCATCAAGACCGTGAGCTAAGCTGAGCTCTATTTTCTTTGTGTCAACTCAGAATCCCAACCAGAAAGTAGTTTTGATGGATGGAGTATCACCCATCAAAGTGTGGGGTGAGATGAGACGGGAGAGGTAAGCAATACATGCTCATTGAAAAATAAGTCAGATTTTAAAAAGTACAGAAAAAATCAAGAGTCCCCATTCCTTTAAAGAAAAAAGAGTAAAAGTCGCCTTTCCTTTAAGAAACCATAGTTGGATATTTGATACGTACTCTTTCCAAATACTTGCCTTTGTAAACACATATGTATATATGATTTTTTAAAAAATAAAAAGAAAAATAGTATTCTGTATGTATATTTCTGTAGCATATATGTGGAGTATATATGCACATACTAGATGTAAACAGAAATATCTTTTGTACCTAATGTTATGGACACTTTCCATAGATAGAGGTGTGTGTGATTCTTTTTACCAACCACAGAATGCTCCATGGGTGGGCGTCTCAATCCTCTGATTTAATCTTCCACTGGGTTAAATGGTTGTTTCCATTTGTTGTTTACAAACAGTGCTGCAAACAATATCTTTGTGTCTATATATTCCTGTCTTTCACTAGTGTTGCTACAAAATAGATTCCTAGAAGTGGAATCAGGGCAAAAGGTATTGAGATCAAATAGTAAATGTATTTTAATGTCTGCTTAATAGTGGTGTTTAATTGTACTCTAAAGAGTGATCGCTACAGTTCTAAAGTCATTTTGGGTTCAGAAATTAGATCATTTTAAACAGAATGAAGTCATTGTGGCTCATAAAATTTAACACGTGTTTGATTTTCACATAAGCCTTTTGAATTTCTCCTTCTGCCAAAGGGACCCTAGCTCAGTGTACAGTTCAGTCCTTATATAACTGTAACTCAGGCAGTCTATCTATTAGATAACTCAGCTTTCACAGTAAACCTGTTCACAGACTCCTGGTCCACATGTGGGTTGGTTGTCTCTTCCTTCCCTAACATTAGCCATTTATTTTGTGGAGCATGGGTGCCGGGAAAAGAATCCACAATATACTTGTGACCATAGGCAGATATGCACCGCATTTGGAAAAGAGCAGTGAATCCTGCTGACAGTTTCAGTGGTTCTCAGCTGTTCACGTGCATGTGGAACACCTGACAAGCTTGGTAGAAATATCAATCCCCAGGTCCACACCTAAAAATTCTGCTGTGAGCGGCTTAAACACTAGTTGCTTTTGATTTGAGTACAGATGGATTGCGTTTAGGGAAAGAAGTTGATTAGTGGTAAAGAGCGAAGTCTGTACTTGCATCAAAATCTAGTTGGGGAACTCAGTCGTGCCATTTACTTGCTGTGTGATCCTGACCAAATTACTTAACCTCTCTGAGTCACAGCCCCTGTTTATCCTCATCATCTGTCAAATGAGGATATTAATAGTATG